CCCGGGAGCCAGGCGCCTCCAGGGAGGGGAGGGGTGGGATCAGGCATCTAGGCGGGATGGTGAGTGGCAGCTGACCACAGGACAGAGTTCTGCTGCAGCTCAAGCAGATCCCCAGTGCTGTCAGGGCACTCAAAAAGCCACCTAGGTACCCTACAGCCTCCACCGGCCCCAGCCCCAGGACACCTGGACCTCCCTCCATAACCACCTGCTCCCAATATCCGCATCTGCTTTTCCTCAAAACTACCAGACCCCACATCCGCCAGGTCACCCTCCCAGGTAGGTTTATGCTGTAGCTGTCCTCTCCCCACTCGGCTGTGGGACACCACCGGGGGCTGCTCCCGGTCTCCACCAGCTGGGGAGAACACCCCTTCCCCAGCCTCTACCAGTCCCGTGCCTTCCCAGCCTGGCAGTCTGACCTGGAGACACAGAAACCTGTGAGCAGGTAGCTACTGAGCAAGGTCCCCTACCAAGGCTGGACACACACCCAAGACCCCCTAAGATCAACACAAAAGGCTGTCCTCTTAGCTCCTGCTACCTGCACAGGATACCCCTGGTCAGGCCACTCTGCCAGGAAGCACCAGGTCTGGCATGGCCCAACTGGACGCCACCCAGGTCCCCCCAGCAGGCCACCTCAGCTGTCCATGGCTCATGTTTTGGCCTCAGAACACACTGGGGATGAGGCCAGCCCCAAGTGTCCTGGGCAGCCCACTCACAGGCCAAGTTCAGCCCTGGTCTCTCCTCCCCCACCAAGCAGCCTGGGGGCGCTCCCTTGGGGCCTGTCCAGTAGCCAAGCAGGGGCAGGGTAGGGGTTGAGGTGTGGGGGAGCAAGAGTGGCCACACTGCAGAGCCCAGGGGTAGAGCTTGCCTCCCCAACCCCTGCTGGGACACAGGGCAGCGGAGGAGGCCCGCATATGGACAGATCCTGCTCCCTCTGCTGTGTCCACACTGGACACCCTGGAGCTACATTAGGGCACACAGTGTGGGCCTGACGTCTGCCCTGTGGGTGCTGAAAGGCCACAGCCATGTGCACAGATGGGGCTGAGTCAGAGCCCAGAGCAGGTGCAGGTGAAAGGCTGGGGCAGGGGCTGGGCCACTCCCCACCTGGCCTCCAGGACCCTACAGCTGTCCAGCCACCCCTCCCCCACAGTCTTGACCTGTTCCCCTCTCCCCTTCCTTCCCCTGGCTTCTGTGCAGCCCTGGCGGGACCTGGTGCCGAGCACTTGTGTACTCCCCGTGAGGGCACTGGGGGACGAGGCCCCTCCACACACGCAGACCCCCCTTCCCTCAAGCAGGTGCCCCTTGCGGTCCCTCGCAGCCTGTGGTGTGGGGAGCTGGGAACTGCCAGGGGAGGTCCCCAGGCCCCACCAAGAGGCACTCCGCACATCCTCTTCAACCATGAGGTGTGTCAAGGTGTGCCCAAGGCCACTGTAGGAGTGGCCGGGCCTCACAGCCCCTCTCCCTCCCAGGTTCCATCCGGGGAATTCCTAAGCAGGCAGGCGAGGGGAAGCAGGAGCAGACATGCCGGGCTGCAGAGGCCTGGGGCCTGGGCGGTCTCCTGGCCGGGGGCGGTGGCCGCCCAGGCAGGCAGGTGTGTGGGCTCCTGAGCGCAGCCTGGCCCCACCCTGAAGGCACAACTAGGGAAGGGTGGCTGATCACAGCCCTGGCACCAGTGAGACCTCTGAATTTGAGATGAACATGAATAATGTTTTAGTGTCAGAATTGATAGCAGGGACCTCGACAGACACCTGAACACCAGGGCACAGCACTGGAAAGGAAGGGCCAAGAGGTAGAAAGAGCCAGCGGTCACTCAGCCCTTGAATGGATGAACAAACTGCAGATCCACAGAATGGAATACTATTCAGCCCTGAAAGAAGGGAATCCCGACGCTCGCTGTATCATGGATGGACCTCAAGGACAGTATGATGGTGGACAAGCACTGGATGTCTCCACTCACACAAGGCCCCCAGAGCACACGGCAGATGGCGGCTGTAGGGACCTGGCCAGGGGAACAAGGACCTGTGTTTAACAGGAGCAGCTTCAGTTTTACGAGTCGTCTGGATGGTGGTGACACCGCACAGCTCACGAGTGTGCTTCCTGCCATTGCACTGAGCTCAAAACACAGGCCAGGTGGCCAGCCTCCCCGGGTGGAGAGCAGACAACCCTCAGTCACCTCCAAACACTCGGGACCCACTGAGAGACATTCGTGGGCCTGCTCACACGGAAAACGGCCCCGGATTCGGAATTAAAATGTCTGGGACATTCGTGCTGCAGAATGAGTCACAGCCCTCTCCACTTATGGACTGTCCTGTGTCTACCTGTCCCTGTGGGGTGTGGGCAGGCCCTTCCTGGAGTCACGAGCCCCTGGCTGTACAGACACACCTCTGTGGCTCCCGGCCTGGTCCTCACACCCCGCGGAGGCTGCTGGAGGCAGTGTGGACGGGGGACCCCGGCTCCCTCACCTCTGCCTGCCCACAGGCCCAGGCGCAGTGTCCCGTGGCGGCTGCGTGGTCGCCGTCTCTGGGCTGATGCTGATCCCCAGGAGTGAGTGCCAGGCTTGGCCAGGGCTGGGGCCCAGCCAGCTGCCCTCAAGGGCCCGCACTGTCGCTGCTGGCCAGAACAGCTCACCTGAAGCACCCTCAGGTGGGACCTCTGGGACATGCGGGGTGCCCACCCAGTGGCTCCCCAAGGTTCAGGAGCCCCCACCAGGACGGGCCCTCCCCAGGAGCAGGTGGGAGCCTGGGGCTGCTCCCTCCCCACACCTCGGCTCAGGGCTCGCACATGGATGTCCCCACGGAGGCAGGAGGCACGCCAGCACCCAGGCGTTGGATCTGTGGGGCAGCTGGGCAGAGGGGCCTATGGCTCAGGGAGGCCCATCCAGCCCCAGAGGGCAGCCAGGAGGAGGGAACAGCCCGTCCCCACATGGGGTCAGAGGCAGCACACAGAGGTGGCCGGGCCATGCCACCCGGCCAGGAGAGGCCCATCAGAACAAGGCCCCACGGCACTGTCTCCTGTCCCTTCCTGACCAGCCCTACCCTCCACGCTGGCCCGAGAGGGTCTGCTACACATGTCCCCCATCCACTGTGCCCAGGGACATGGGTGAGTACCACTCCGAAGGGCCCTGGCAGTCAGTCCCCCTGTGAAACAAACAGCAGTGTCGACGATTCGTGTTAGGGTGACCCAGGTGACTTCCAGAATCAGCAGTATGGTGACAGTGGCCAGGATCTCCCAGACTCCTAGCTCCTCAGCCTGGCCAGAGGCACACTGGCCCCACCGTCCCTACATGGACGAGACAGGACTTGGAAAAAGAACAGGCCTGCTCCAACCACCCTCCCCTCCCTTGCCCACGGCTCCTCCTGTGTTCTCTCAGCAACGTGCCGCCCAGATGACACACAACAGGCGCAGAGAGGTTCAGTATCTGCCCAAGGTCACTCAGCAAATGAGTTCAGAGCTGGCACTGGAGTCCAGGCAGGCAAGCTGGACCCGTAGATTGGGCTTTGGATTCCCTTGAGGATCCTCTCCTTGCTAGGATGATGGCCACCAAGAACAGCCACTATCCTTAAGAGAGAAGCCCTTAGCGGAGGATGTGGCTTTATCCTGGCAGGCCTTTATCCTCGGATCCCAGAGTCAGTGTGCCGACATGGACAAGCACCAACCACCGGCCCACAGCCACGAGCCTGGCCTTCTCCAGCCTGGCCACTCCTCGGGGCAGCCACCAGGTCCTCCTTCCTGACAGCACACTCACTGTCCATCGTGCCTCGCAGAC